ACAATCTTATATCATATTTAACATTCTTCGAGTAAGCAACTTCTCATTTTCTGCATGTCTGTTAAGTATAAAAGTCATTTTTATAGTCGATCTTTTAAACTTGCATTTTTCTTTATGCCTTTAGTTGCTGAAACGGCAATCTCTGTCTCAACGCAAGTAATAAATCCATCTTTCCATTCTTTATAACGTCCGTAATGAATCATTGCAAGCAGTTTTATGTCCAGCCTATCACTTGACATCACAAACCATCATCTCATGTCTAATGATTGTATTACGACATATCTACATAAATCATCACGTCGCCGATATCGTCGTCGGGGACCACCATCGCCAGTACGTCGTTTTAGATTCCACGCGTAGGTGGTTGCACCATAACTCGTTCTGTCCCCTGACAGGAACTCGGACCGCGACAGTAGCAATAATTTCTAACGATTTTATCTCTGTGGAATTTCAGCCGAGACGCAAATGTTTCTCGTAAAGATGCGCGACGATGTCGCTTAGGACAATCTTGAAAACGACAAGGTTGCAGAGATTGCGGTTTTTTTGTTCTATATATCTCATCGAGACGTTACATCGAAATGCCAACTGTTCGTCTAATGAGCTTCATAAATTAGGATTTCCTAATGAGAACCATACACTATTTTCCATATTAAATTTTCTCCGAATTGGATTTATCAAATAATTTGTAAATTCAAAGATAGGAATCTGAAATATTTTTTATATAAATATACATATACATCATAGTTTTACAATAAAAATTTCTCGCAATAATTCAGTAGTAGATGATATTGTCACACTTATAATTTACACTTATCGAAATAATTTTATATCGATTGCTATAAAATAATTTTAGACAATGTGAATACTTGGATGACACATAGAACACATAATTTATCAATAAAATCTCTTTATCAATAAAATATTAACAAGAAAGATATGTTATCATTATTAAAAATATTTATGGTGGCATATGTTGTATACATTTACCTACAGGAGAAAATTGTCCCATTAATTTTATTTTCCATAAAAGTTTCAAGACTACATACCAGACGCTTTGGGCTCGAAATATTTCGAGTCTGTCTCCTCAGAGACAGGTTCCGAACCAGTACGCGAGTACGACCGGGGAACTCTCATCGATGTGTGTGTGCGCGCGCGTGTTTACCCTGCGGGCATACCCTGGCTGCGCCTCCAACTTGCTCATACTATTTGAACGAGTCGATAAAACCGCCGTCGAACTATTTATCGTACGCGGAACAAGCGAGAAACGGCGTACTCGCCTCGTCGTGGGCAAACAATCGCGGTACCGGGATTATCGAGAGTCGTGCTTTTTGTTCTCCACCTGATACTTTCTTCACACCGGATCTTTCACCGTGTCGCACTCTTTCTCTCACTTTTCATTTTTCTTCTTTCCCTCGCTCTATTCTCCCGCGGCTTCGCGAGCGCACGCGAGTGTGCGCGCACGCGCGCGCGTGCCGATAACGGCATATTTCCGTGCCCCTAAGAAACAAGACCGCGACTCGCTTATCTACGAGTGACGATCCGATTGTTTGAATATCGTAAAAACCCGTAAAAGCCAAGAAAAATCGAACTGATTGCTTTCCACGAATTACGAAATCCACGACGAGGCAGTGAGTTTCATCGAGGCCATGAACGATTAGTCCGAGTTCCTTAACACGTGGAAAAAACGTGATTCGACAAACGCTATGCAATTATACCGATAAATACCGATACGGTACGATACCCGAACAAAGAACACGGTAATCGATCGTGTTTTTTTTTTTCGTAAAATCTTTTTCTTCTATTTTTCTTTTCCTCCTTTGAAAGAAGGGATGTCTTGTTCTCTCTTCTAACAGAGGTATTAATACCAGAGACAAGAATTTATTTTTCTCGAACTAAAAAAGGAAAATATGTCGAAGATAGTAGGGAAATAAATATCGTTACGTGCATCTGAATAGTAATGAAAAATTTCTGAAATTCCTAAAAAGTGAATAGTCTTATTCAAGACATGCTAAATTATTAGCAATACGTTAAAAACAGGTATAACAATATTTTTTTCCTATCCATTCAACAAGTTGACGATTAATTTCCTTAGCTTATTCCTTTCCTTGTTAAACGAATTTGTGACACTTTCATGCTTTCGTTGTTAGTCCCCAGAACGTCTCATCTAGAAGGCAACGCGATTACGAACGGTGTAATCCATTCAGTCATGCTAGTCTGACATTATGATAAATAATATCTGGAACTGATCGAATTTAGGGTGAGAGAGGAAACGGGGCGAGGATCCGCCGTGATAATGGGGTGTAACGACATAAATCTTTCTGCTTTTCTTCAACGTTCTTGCCTTCTCACTTCCGCCAAAACCAACTGTGCACGGGGATTAAAAAAAAATGCTCATTTCTCTCCTTCTTTATCCCCTTTTTCGTGACTTTATTCGACTTTCTCAATGCTCACTATTGTTAAAAAGAAACCTTGAAATGTCACTGACGTAACGTAAAGAATTCGTAACGAATTTAAAAATTTAAGCCAAGGTTGGATCGCGGATGATCATTCAATCATCATCGGCTGGAGGATCATTCCTTCGTTAAATCATTTGACATTTTATTCTTGCTCTCAGATTTTATTACTTAGATACGCATGTATCATGCACATTTAATTGAGGCTGAAGAAAGTTGTTTTAATCGATTATTTACCGCGAACGTGTTGTTATGTTTTAATTAAATAAAAAAATATCTTTCAAAACTGATTAAACAATTAAATTAATGAGTTTCAACGTAAAAATGAAGAGCGTAATATTTTTTCACTAATGGGGCAATGTAACACTGCCTCGAAATGGTGCGAGCTCGCAATTTATGAAATTGTTTCGTCCGCTCTTCTCTCGCGCGATATCTTCACCGGCACAAAAGGAGCCGGCACGCACCTGCACTTTATGCAGATAAGGTCGAGGTGCTTCAGGTCAGCCCACTCAGAGTTAAGGTCACGTACCATCTCCTGCCTCTCGCGCTTCTTCTCTTTCTCTTCCACTGTCGTTTCTTCTTGTCCTTCCCTCTTACGGACACTCCCGTTCTCTCTCGCTTCCACCTGCGAGGACTTCTCGCGCAGGTAGTCTCTCGTGGAGAATTGAGATGTTGCCTGACGTCACTACTCATCTCCCACGCGACTAAACACCGTGAAAGTTTTGTCAGCACTCCCGGAAAATATAAAAATATTGATAGCTACTTGAAAGAAATAAATAAATAAACATTTCGTCATTTCGTATGAAAAGATCTGTGGTACTTTTAAAAGAAAAATAATCATAATTTTTTGACACTTGATTTTTACCGAAAATTTCCACAAACATTGTATTGTAAATAAAGTTAAAAAACTGAAAGCCTTAATAATGCAATGGATATGACAAAAAGACAATATGTATATACATAAAATAATAAATTTTAGCCGAGTGACACCTGGATTTACATTTTCCAGATGCTGAATGGAAAAATTTAATTTCCGGTACGGCGCGCGTCATAAATTTTCCGTGATTTTCTTGCAGGATGTCGAGAGACTGCTTTCATCTACGCCATCACGAGCGCGGCGGTGACTCACAGTATCGCGAGGGCATGTAGCGAGGGCAGTATTCAGTCGTGTTCATGCGACTATACCCACCAATCACGTGTATCATCCGCCGTTCGAGACTGGGAATGGGGTGGTTGCTCGGATAACATCGGATACGGCTTCAAGTTCTCTCGCGAATTCGTCGATACTGGTGAACGTGGGCGAAATCTCCGCGAGAAGATGAATCTGCATAACAATGAAGCTGGCAGAGCAGTAAGCGTTTTAATCCTTTTAATTATTTTATATATCTAATAGAAAAAAAAAAGATAAAACCGGTAGAATTATTTTTTAAATAACATTCACTCTGCGTTATCTAAATTCAGATAAGAGATAGAGTATTTCGCTCTAATCTTGATGTTCAATATTCATAATACATTATATTTTATTTACTGGCGAGTTTGTAAATTCACTAACAAAAAAATCGATCGAACGACAACAAGACATTTATTAAATTGCGGAATAAGACGATAGAGATTCCGCCTTTCTCATTACAGCACGTGACTTCGGAAATGCGTCAGGAATGCAAGTGTCACGGCATGTCTGGCTCCTGCACGGTGAAAACCTGCTGGATGCGGTTGCCGAATTTCCGCGTGGTCGGCGACAATCTGAAGGACCGTTTCGACGGGGCCTCCCGAGTGATGGTCAGCAATTCGGATCGCGCGCGCATCAACACCAACGCTATCACCAGCAACTCGGCGAGCAATTCCGTGCATCAGCACCGCGACGGTCTCGGACGCCGGCACCGCTACAACTTCCAACTGAAGCCGTATGATCCGGACCACAAGCAGCCTGGGCAGAAGGACCTCGTCTACTTGGAACCGTCGCCGGCGTTCTGCGAGAAGAATCCCAAACTCGGTATCCTGGGCACCCACGGGCGACAGTGCAACGAAACGAGCATCGGCGTCGACGGCTGCGACCTAATGTGCTGCGGCAGGGGCCACAAGACTCAGGAGGTGACGGTAATCGAGAGGTGCTCTTGCACCTTCCACTGGTGCTGCGAGGTTAAATGCCAGCTGTGCAGAACGAAAAAGACGGTACACACGTGTCTATAAAGAGGGAATTCGATCGTGAGATTCGGTCTTGGAATCTTGATGATTTTCGAGGCGATCTTCATACGGGGTTAAATCAAAGATTCGAACTCTCTCCGTTTTCCCTCGGTAACCCCGGGTATAACGGTGTGACGTTGAGAAATTGGAAGGACGAGACTACGCTCTTCTCTCTAGCTCAAAAAATTCTACTAATCTCTTTCGTGAACGACCGACGGTCTGTTTTTACGAGAGATCCTGCCGCGGGACTTGCCGGACGGGGTCGAAGTCGTCGTGGAGTCCCGCGTGAAACTTCCACGGGACTCCCTCGTCTCCAGTATTACGCGAAACGAACGAAACTACATATATTTATTACGTCGCGTCGCGCGCGTACTAAAGACTGAGATGGTGAGAAGCGTTCGTGCGATCGTAGATTTTTAAGGCTTTAAGATAAGGATAATTGGCGAAATGCGGTGTAAATACCGGTGTAAATGCCAGCGTGACACCGGCTCGCTATTCACCGACGAGAATCAAGCTTCCTTAATGAAAGCTCTGACATGTTAGCTGTGACAGTGTCATATGGTAGAGGAAAATAATTTAAGGCTACTGGTATCCGCATTTCTCGTCTCAGGTTGTTATCCACTGGAGACATTTATCTCAAATTATTTATATATTTCGCGCTTGCAATATTCAAATTTAATTTGTGACCGTTTTTCTTGCCGTAAATTGAATTAGTGCTTACTTCTCTCGGCTGTAGAGAACATTTAATTATGATAAATGAATTAATAAACAAAGAAGCCTTTAATTATTTTATCTTGTTGCATATGAGGTCTTCGTTTTAAGCAATGTTTATTGACTACGACACGAGCATTCGTAATCTCGTGAAAGCATTATTTATTCTTAGAAAGGTGTCTTTTTTGCGCTTTAGACACTCGCTCCCTCGGGGAAACGGGCAATCTCGTACAGATCGCATACTTGTATATACATAAATAAATTATAGCGATATATTTTACAGCAATGTGAGTCGATCGGTGGTCAATATATTTCTCCGTAAGAAACTATTGTAAATAAAAACAAACACACGCGACAAAGATGAAGCCCCACATTGGGAGTGGTAAATTATTTTTATATCTTTTTCATATTTCTCTCTTTCTCTCTTTCCCCTTTTTTCTTTACTGAGTACTGGGGTATTAAGAATTCCGCAGGTTTAAAAATATCTTCTACCAATACTGGGTAGAGAAACTATTTTTTGAATAAAAAAATTCCAACGAATGATAATTCCAATGTTGTGCATAATAAATGTATTAATTATTGCTCGTAATTTATATAAATAAATATATAAGAAGATTAAATAAACGACGAAATTAAAATCTATAATTATATTTTATCTTATCTACTCCTTATCTTATCTCCTTCCCATAAAGTTATAAAAATTCTTTCATTAATTTTTAGCATATAATTGCGATGACTTATCGCGCGTTTATAACAATCTATTTATTTTGCCTTAAGTATTTAATCGAAACACAGAAATCATGCTTTTCATTTGCTTGTTGAAAAATTGAAATGAAAAATTAATATAATCCTTGAGTACTAAAATCTACTAGCTTCCTATCATGATACGCATTTGGAACAGCGATAACATTGGTTTGCTTACGAAGGGCTAAGGACATTTTCGCAAAAGCGAGACTTCCACTCGAGCGCTAGATCCATTTCACGATCGCGGATCTCCGTTGACGAGATCTACGAGCAATCCCTCGAACTTCGGTCGTACGGTCGCTCGGCGCCGCGGTTGTGTGTCGCAGGACTATTCAATATTTTCCCATTACACGATGCGCGCCGCCGTCGACGTACTCTCGCGAAATATAGCCAACTGGTTCCCCAGCTGGACGACTTCATAATTCCTGCGCCGAGTGAATGTCGTGGGAGGCCCATGCCCCGAGGAGGACTGGTTCGGCTCTCCTCATCCTCCTTTTCTTTCTCTCTCGTCTCCCTTCCCCTCATCGCCCTTCTCGTTCTCCTTTCTTTTTCTCATCGCGTTCTTTCTTCCTGCATCTCTGCCTTCCACCGTTTCAGCGAATGCTGCACGCGATGATAACGAACGCAGGAATCCCGCAGGAATCTCCGCGCGGGATAAAAGGACCCTGACCGCATACAAACAGGCATCCGCGCTAATGGTACCAACACTCCATCGCCGACCTACCGGCTTTCTCTCCCCCTTACCCGCCCCCTTTTCACCTTTTTTCCACATGCTCCTTCCCCCGATCCACCTTTCGCTGCCGCTTCCTCCTTCTGTTGCGTATCTCTTTCTCTACCGACAGACCACCGGTTCTTTTATCTACGAATAATAATTATTTTTTGTAAATTTTCTATGAGTTTAAATATTGATTATGATATATAATTAATAATGATACTTTTTCTACATTTCTATTCTCCATTCTCGTCAGATTAATTATCGAAAAATTATAAAGAGTGGTAATATAAAGAAGTGTGGTAATATAAAGAAATATATCATTTTCTTTAAGTATAAAATCTTATCTTTAATATTACACGCAATTGATGTATCTGAAGCACTTACAATTAGTAATAAAGTTAAGAATGAATTTAACTAACAAATTCGAATTATGCAATGCACTCATGCAATATTTATACCTATCTCATTGCGTAATGGCCAATCAACTTCCGCTATTGAATTCTTGATCATTCATCACTTTGAGATTCGCATCCGGTGATGCAAAGCTGAGGAGGATAGTATATCGCGATAGTAAAACAAATTCTTACTACAAGAAAGAGAGAGAAAGAGAAAAAGAGAAAGAGGGAGAGAGCGAGAGAGATTGCCAGCATCCCAGCAGACAAGAATCTCGGGCAGCCGGACCACTTCTCACGGCGGTCCCTTTGATCTTACCTGACCCACCCACCCCCTCGGTCCCCCACCTCGACCAACGGACACCAGCAGCCTCTCCAGCCCTTCTCTTCCCCGCCCTCATGTGAGTTCGGGTTTTTACCCCGGGCCAACTCAACGTTGAGCGGCAGCCAACCCTCCCTCCCCGCTATCTCCGCTTTGAGCACCGTCCTCGCATTCTCAAAAAGCACGAACGCATCCTGGAGGCGACCAAGGTGGATTCATTCAGTTTTACTATTATTACGCATACCGTCACGCGTGCGGTTCGTTTTAGCTCGGGGAATGCGATCCTGGATCCCGGCGATGCCGCCGAGGTGCTTGGTAGGTGCGCCGGTTTAATGGAACGGACGTCTGGGAGGTGGACAGCCGCGGATAAATACGACATGTCGTTAAGAGAGCCCTCTGCAACTTTTGAATTCTGGCAAACTCGAGGAGCAACGCGTGCCAATTTCCGCGTGTCTCTTTCGCGATTCGCACATTCTATCGAACGCACAGACGCACGCGGTAGAGATCTACTCAAATTTAAGAAACAAACTAATATCTCATCATTATTTACATTCCACATACTTATTTTTTACGAAAAATTTTCCTCCTCTTTTTTAATTCTCTACAAATTATAAATAGTCTATTTGTATTATAAAAAAAAAACAGTAGTAGCTCAAGTTTAATTGGAAATAAAGTGCGCCGACGTGTCATCGATACTTCTTACCAGTGCTCCTTTCGCCGCTCTATCGTCGTTTGAATCTTTCGCATGATTCTCTCGCCGGCGAAGAGAAGAGCGATCTCTCTGTCCCTGGCGCCGCGATCTGATAGAGGCGACGAAAACATTTAGAGGTTATAAGAGCCCCCGAGACGATAAAATCGGGGTAGCCAGGCGGGCGGAACGACACGCGGCGTGTCGTGCACGAACACACGCGCGTGGCATCCTGATGGGCATCCTCTTCACGAGACACTCCGCACGCGGAGGCGCTCGATTGTCATTCCTCGTGCTCTGCATTTCGTATTCTCAAAACATCTCAAAGTCGGATACGAGCGTTGATATGTACTTCTCACGCTGGATCATTATTGTCTGCGAGAACTTAAAGGATCGCATTTCCCTTTTTCCAAGTTCCAAACACTATCAGTATTTAAATTTAAATTGCATATATATACAAGTAATAACGCATTTTATTTAAGCGTAACATAACGAGAAAATAATATAAATATAAGAAAATATATAAATATATAGTATATAAGAAAATTAAAGATAATTAAAAATAAATTAGAGAAAGCAAGATGAAGGGATCAAAGGGGGATGCCTGACAAAATTCAAAACGTTCTTCGCTTCACAGTCGTTCGTCCATTTTCAAATAAAAATAATTGAGCGCGCACACGTAAATCAACTAATTTATCGTTTTTGCTATCAAGACGAAGGTGGCCCATCCTGCTTGTCGACGTCGTCGTCGTCCGCGTCGTCGCCAGGATATAGGAATGGCTGGAATCTCTTTTGGCGGGACCTAGACCTCGTCGTCGTGGCCATTCGTGGGAAAGGATATCGGCTGACATTCGGGACCACACCGTCGAATTATCGGCGTTTTGGCATGTTATAAGGCCCCGACGAAGCGCGCCTCCTACTCCTGGCTCCCTTTCATCTCATTTCGCTCCCTCGATCGTTCTTCCTCCGGCTGTCCTCCGCGGAAACCAGTAAAGAGAATCTCCAGCGGAATCCGCATCTGCGACGACTGTGGGAACGAAATCGCGGGTCGGCCACTGCCTGGAACCACCGTGTACCAACGTGTCGGTCGACACCCGGATTCCTTTCGAGTTCCGGCCTTTCGTTCCTAAAACTTTCGAAAGAAGTTCTGTTCTCCTTTTTCTCTCTCTTTCTTTCTTTCAATTCACTGCCGATATTCTTAACCATCCATTGTCTCATACGGAGAAATTATTTTTAAGCAAAGAATAATACTCTAATAATATCTCTTTAATTCCTTAAAGATTTCGAAATAAGACAAACTTTTCATTTTTCTTATTTTTACACGCTAAAATCAAGTTTTATTTATAAAAGATAAAATATACAATACAATAATAATAATAATAAAACTGCTATATTTTCTAATTAGCTTCACGATTAGATTAATCGATCTGATATTGGTGAGAGAATAATATTCCCCGCATTTCGCGAGGCAGTTCTAAAGAGGTGACAACTTCGGCGTGCAAGAACTCAGCGCTCCTCGCTCTTTCGTCCGTGACGGTCGTCGCAAGTAAGTCATTGAAGAACCGAGAGAGCACATCGGACCACCCTGGATGCGATTCCGTGGATAATCCCGCGGGTACCACCGGGCAGATTTACGTATCGCGTTCGCCACGGGTCCGGAGGGCGATACACGTTCGTGGATCCTACGAGAGCTTCATTACTTTTTTCTGGCTCGGCTCACGATGAATGACTTAATTCTTTGGAGATAGAGACAGAGACAGAGAGAGAGAGAGAGAGAGAGAGAGAGAGAGAGAGAGAGAGAGAGAGAGACAGAGACGA